GGCAGTCGGGTGTGGGGAGGGATAGGGGACAGGGGGACTCTAGGCACAGAGCTGGTCACCTGTCTCACAGCGAGGGCCCTCGAAGAGCTCTGGACACAGGCAGGTGTAGTTCCCCACCAGGCCGACACACGAGCCTCCATTCAGGCACGGGCCCGAGCTGCAGCCATCCACATCTGGGGGTCAGCAGGGGTGTGAGAGAGGGCTGCACCACGACAGGCCTCTCCTGTCCACCTCCTCACCCGCCAACAGTGGGCCACTCACCTGCTTCGCAGACTGGCCCCGTGTACCTGGCCTGGCACATGCACAAAGCAGCCCCGCCCTCCACCTGGCACTGGCCACCATTCTGACATGCATGGGCGTCACAGGGTGACTGTGCTGCAAATGAGGGTTGTGGAGAAGAGGCAGCGTTGAAGGATGGCGGGGGTTGGGGGGTGGGGCACACACATACAGGACCAATGAGAGCTCAGTGTGGAATGCTCTCCTTCCATGTGGAAGTCTTGAGTTCGATTCTCAGCCACCCACCCCATGCCCAGCCACGCCCTGTGCCAGGGAAGGCCCCCGTATGGCTGTGACAGAAACCCTCACTCCGACGGAAACCCTCACTCCGGGCCGGCAGAGCACACCGTGATAAAGGAAGGAAAGACAGGAGGCTCTGTTTTCCTGGGGTCTACACTGGTGCCCGTGGAAGCAGTGCTGAGGAATCAAACGTGCAGCATTGGGAAACCCTGTGGTGACAGAGCTGTCAAAATGTGAGAAGAGCAACAATGTCGCTTCCAGGACTCGGGTGCACCTGACCCAGGCCCTGTGCTTTCAGCGGCCTCCTGTGCCCGTGGAAGGCGGACCCTGGGTGAGGAAGACCAAAGGGGAACCGATGCACTTGAACTGCGGAGGCCGGGAAGGATGCTGGATCGCCACGGACTCCGGAAGAACCGACGAAGCCTCACTCCGATACATGAATGTCCTGTGTGTGCTATGTGGGAGATATGCATATGCACAGCATTCCCTTGAGTGTGCAATGTGAGAAAAAGAACACGTCTGGGAAGCAGTGCAGCTAGAATGCCCCTTAGAGGACGGGATGGCGAGACCGCCCCTCACACACTTGGGACGTGCTGTGTCAGCAGACACCAGTCCCTGGAGGGGACACCGTGCTTGGTAAAGTAGGGAGCAGCGACAAAGAGGAAGACGCTGGACAAGAGGGAGTGACAGTGTGGGTGCAACCCTGGGCTCAGACGAGGAGCCATCTGTGAGGGTGGCGTGGTGCCGGGGGCGGATTCTTCTGTTGTGCCCGGACAGGAGCCAGAGCTGGCTCAGGAGCACTGGGATCGCGTCCTGTGTCAACTGGGCTGGGCCAGATTCCTAGGGGCCTATCAGTCCTTCCTGATGTGACCCAATCTGATGGAATCAAGTCCAAGCAGCTATGATTGAGGTGGACTCGCGCGCGCGCGCGCACACACACACACACACACTCTCTCTCTCTCTCTCTCTCTCCTGATTCAGGTCACACCCTGAATGTAATCGGAAGGAAGTCTCTCCTTCCTGTAGAGTTCTTCCGTAGAACGCTCGCTTGCTTTCCACTGGCTCTGGACCCTGCATCTGGCTCTTTGGCCTCTGGCTCTTTGGACTGAGCCAGGGGCCTGCCTTATTGCCTGGTGATTGCGGGAGTCATCAGTGGCCTGCCATCGGGCCTGCTGACCTTGGGGTCTTCTGCCTCTGCAGGCTGTGATGTTCCTGCTGACCCAGGTCTCATCAGCCCCTGAAGCTTTGTCAGTCGGGAAGAGCCTGCAGCTTAACATCTGACCCAGACTTGAACCTGGACTGGGCTGGACTGACCTGCCTCTACATGCTGTGAGCCGTTTTCTCGATACATACTTCTCTCTACATACGTGTACATGCACCACTGGCCTTGCTTCTGTAAAGAATCCAGTCTCACACAAGCACCACAGACCACCCACCGAACACACTGAGGCCCTAGAGTCGGGTGGACTTACTGCAGGAAGTCCTTTGTCCACCTGGATGTCACTTCTAAATGAGCATCTGATCTCATCTTGGGTGTGAATGTTTTAGCAACAGCTTCTGGTCCACTCGGCAGTAAAAACGATGCCTACAAGCTGGCATTCGATGTGGAAACTTTTTTCCCGCAGCCACGAGTCTCTCAGTATTAAAAATGGGCTCTTTCCCCTCTGAATAGTTGCCTGTGGCCTGCCCCTGGCCCTGACCTGGGCCCAGTCGAGAGCTGGGCTATTCCAAGGCCCCAGGCCGGATCGGGGTGTCCAGGAAGTCCGAGTGTGTGTGGGCAAGCTGGCTTCTGGAGATGTGCCTACTGTGACCAGCACAGCGGGCCAAGGCTGTCCCCAGGCCTCACCTGCGCCCAGGTGTTCTGCTCACCTGTTTCACAGGTGGGACCTCTGAAGCTAGCCGGGCACTGGCAGCTGAAGCTGTTGGCCCCCTGGGTGCAGGTCCCACCATTCTGACAAGGCTGAGACTCACATTCGTCCACATCTGAAAAGCAGGGCAGGAGCCTCAGAGGTCAGATGGACTGGGGAGGGCCCATGGCTGCAGGGAGGGGGTGGGCACCGGTGTCTGGGCTCCCCAAGTCTGGGAAGACAGAAGCTCACCAACCCCCAACAGCCTCCTTGCAGCCCCCACACCACTGATGGAGAGCCCCCACCCCCCCCACTCACCTACCTAGGCCCAGGCCCCAACTGCAGAGCGGCACCTCAGCTAACAGCCAGGCCAGCGGCCATCAGGGGTCCCGCCCACTCACCGAGATGGTTTAGGGGCCCCTAGCACTCAAGGCCCTGGCCTAGGGGCCCCGCCCACTCACCCAGGCTCCTGGACTGGGGGCCCACCCATTCACCTGCCCAGGTCTCAGGATGGCCCCCCATTCACGGCCCAGTTCTGAGCCGGGCACTCACCCAGCTGGCAGTGCCGTCCGGTGAAGCCTGAGAGGCAGGAGCAGGTGTAGGAGGGGTCGCCGGGGACACAGTCGTCAATACACTTGCCGCCATTTAGACAGGGTCGCAGGGTCAGGCAGACCGAGGCTGCGGATACGGCAGGCATCACAGATGGGAGGCAGGATGTCCTGCTGGGTCCCCCTCGCCCGTTGGATCCCAAGAGTCGACCTCTGGGACTTCCCCCACCCCCCACCTTCCACCTAGGGTAGGGCCCAGGGTGCCTAGGCCCCAGGGACTTAGCCCTGTCCCTCCAGCTGAAAGATGTGGCTATTTTGCAAGGACTAGGCCCCTGTTGTCAGCGTGGGCGTGAAGCCCCCTGCCCCAGGGATGTGACAAGCTGTGGATACCACACAGCTGGAGGACCCCAGAGGAGAGCGAGGGCAGAGCCTGCCTCCCTGCCCCGGCCCACTGGACTCTGTTCACTGGGCCACCAAGGAAGGGTGACTGCGCGCTCCTCTGGAGACCCCGCCAGACCTGGGCAGAGGGCGGACAGGCCCCATGGTGGTGTGCACTGAGGCTTAGGGTCCTTGTGGGGCCCCAACCCTGTTCATGCACCGAGGGGCACAAGGCTCAGGGGCTGCCAACCAAAGTCCTCCTACTTCTGAGTGCCCCAGGCCTCCCTCCTCTTAGTATGCCACCTCCTACCCCCAACCCTGCCCCAGCCTGGCGCTGCCCCCCACTGCTCCCTCAGCATTCCACCCCAGCACTTCCCCTGCCTCCTGCACACCACCCCTCTGCATTCCACCCCCCAACACCTGACTCCACCCTTACATCCCACCCTGCCCCTCAATATGTACCCCCTACCCCCACCCCTGGACATGTGACAATGTCCCTCTCGGTACCCTACTCCTCCCCAACATCCCGCCGCCCCCTCCCCTGCCCCAGGGAGGCCGTGCCTGAGCCGCAGGTCCTCTTACTTGTATGGCGGCAGCCCCCCACGCGCACCTGGGCATCATCGATTCTGAACGCCCAGCGCCCGGGCACGCCCACATTGGTGGTGGTCTCCACCTCCGCTACATCCGCTGTCCGTGAGCCTGGGATGCTGAAGTAGCGACGTCCATCGCCAGCGTTGAAGCCGGCCTGCCGTGTGGCGGGGGAGGGGCAGGGTTGAAGGCCCAGCAAGACAGAGAGGTCCTGGGGCCCTGAAATGTCTGGGCCCCACCCGCACCCCCCACCTCCTGGGGTGGTCCAGGCAAAGGAGACCACCAGAAACAGCCTTGTAGGGGTATCCTACCCTGTCCCCCACTTGCTGCAGCCCTGTGAATGTGGCCCTGGCACCACCATCCTCACTGACCCTTAGGTGGGGGAGGGGGTGTGTGACACCAGGAAGGAGTGGCTGTCCCAGGAGGCCCAGGGGTCACAGGGGCTGTGAGACCTCCAACCTCAGAGGCAACCTGGGTGGTGGGGGTGCCATCTGGGGCTGGCTGTGGACTCGGGGTCTGACGGCCATGGAGGGGGAGGTCAACCCTGACCGTGCTGCTCTCCTCGGGTGGCTTTCACTAGAGGACAGCTGGCCATGCAGTCCTCTTCTTCCCACGGCCCCTCCCTGCAGGCCTCGGTCCCAGCCACCAACCACCTCCCTTGCCTCCATCAGAAGGCCTGTCTGCACATGACCAGCCTCTGGGGCTGTGGGCCCTGAGAGGCAGGAGGGGAGAGGTGGACCTGTCCCTCCTCACACCAGGTACCAGCCTCCAGGACCTACCTGAGCAGCGATGCCCCCCAGGCCGGCGGCATCGCCTCCGCTGCTGGCGTGAGTGCCCGTGGTCCAGGTGATGGACTCGTAGTTGAAGATGGTGAAGGAGAACTTGCCGTCAGTGATGAGGATGACCTGGAACGTGTTGACCTGCCGAGGACAGGGTGGACGGCGCTTTGCCTGCTGGTCCACCACCAACCCCTCTCCCAACCAGGTGGTCACCTCATGGCAGGGCAGGGGCCCAGCATCCCCTGCCAGGTCCCTAGTGTGGTTACCCTGGCACCTCCTCTCCTAAGAGTGCCACATCGTGCAGATGCTGGCCCTGCCCTCCAGGGGCTCCTGAGAGGAGACAGAGGTTCCACACTCCCTCTCTGCCAAGGCCACCTGGGAGCAGTGACCCAACATAAGAAGAAAAGGATCCAAGAGGAAACAGGAGAAGCAGTGAGTTACAGATTTTTATGGTTTCCAAGGAAATCTCAAATTCTGTGAAAAGGGGACCCATCTGACGGCGGTGCCCTTCGCCGTGCCCGGTGGTGCCGAGGAGCCTTTAGCAGAGCTTCCAGGTCCAGGTGGGCAGGAAGGAGGCTCTTCAACAGTGGGCCAGGCTGATTCCTGACAAGTGGGGGTGGGATGGGGGTGATGACGTCAGCCAGCGGACAGAGGGCGGCGTAAGAGGACAAAGCCTTATAGGCTGGGTCGGAATCCACAAAGGAAGGGTAACCCTGGCATTTCCCAAGCTGAAAGACCAGTGGCCACACTGGAGGACTCTATGGGCAAACATACAAGGGTACAGGAAGCAGAGAAAGGGCGAGGGAGCCCCTGGACTGGCGGACATGGAACCATTGCAGCCGGGACATATGACCAAGAACTGAGGGTAGCGGATGACCGCTGTCCCAAGGCTCTGGGATTGGTGGTCACTGGACTTTGGTTCTAATTCCTCCCGTTGAGGGTGCCTGAGGTTTGGGGGTCCAGGACCACCACATATTAGCTCTCTTTGCTTCTTTATGACATGTGGGGTCTAACAGGCATGGGTCTCCGTTGCGAATGGGTGTTGTTGAAAGTTCTGTTTGTGCCAGTCATGTGCGGGTGAGTCGGCAGTTGGCATCATCTGGGCTGAAAACACTAGCCTGCTTGTGCGTCCTTCCTTCTGCTCCACGACGTTCCAAGTTCCGCACACTGGCTAAACGCCGCGCTTACTAGGACTAATATGCCCCCTGGGGATGGTGCAGGATGTTCCCCAATGAAATGACAAGCTGTCTCTAAAATGACCCCGGAACACATGGAAACCTTAGAAAGAGGAATGGACGTGGGGCTCAATGGACTTGGGACTTAATCCTGGTCTTAATCGAAGAACAATTAGCCCTTATGACATGGCCCTGTTCCATAGAGAGATGACGGAAGACGTGGGCGCTACAGCAAAGTGTGGTGAAGAAACGAAGGTTCCCGGCTATCAGAAAGACTAGCGCCTAGGATATGAAAGGCGTGTCTCAGACAAGCAGCCATCTAAGTGAGGGATCAGCTAAATCCACATGGAAGAAGCACACCAGCCTGTGTGTTCCAAGCATTATATATGTTAAAAAAAATCCAAATTTGGAGGAGGGCATGATATGAGAGCTTAAATTCTGGACACTCAGTTTTTAGATGGCTATGGACGACAATGGAAGCCCAAAATCCGTTTCCAGGTCCCTACAAGGGTTAAGCTTTGACCATAATCCAGGAACGGGACAGCCTTGCTATCAGACAGACAGCATTGTGACGCCCATTATGACCGATCCAGTTAGGTTCAAATGTAGCACCTTAGCACATGATCTCCTGTTTGACCCATTTTAAATTTGATCCAGTTTTTAACATTTTATGCTTTCTTTTCCATTGAGGATTTTCTGTTTGTTGTTGTTTCTTGATTTTGTTTTGTATGTTTTTTCTGTATCTGAGATCCAGGATAGGTAAATCTATACAGACAGAAGCTGGATTAATAATTGCCTAGGGGCACGGCAGGGGAGGGTGGAGGCAGGGAATGGGGGGACAACAATGAGTATGAGAAAGGAGAAAATGTCCTAAGATCATTGTGTTGATGATGGCACAACTCTTCCTAATATGATTGAACTGTACAAATGCACTTTACATAATTGATGTGTGTATGGATTGTGATGAGTTGTATGAGCCCCTAATAAAATGATTTAAAAAA